ACTCAACTCAGTTAAGTGGAACCAGGTCACATAACATGGTTAAGTAAATCCAACATTTCATTTTTTACAGTGTAGCTTTTATTTGTTGAAAACCTGGGTCCAAAGTTGCTTTAAAGCAACTTCATGTGTAATTAGGCTCTCTTATCAGAATCAAAATCAGTTTTTATGCCATTGTCAGTGAACATTCACAGACTAGGAACTTGCAGTTAAGAACACTCTGTTCAGGACAAAGACACACATAATGAACATGGGGGAGAAGGGATGATTAGGTCTTGCTCAACATGGTTTCTCTACCTTTTTGCAGCTTGGAAAACACACATTAGGAGAGGTGAGTTAAAAAAAGTTGCTCTGATCCTGTGTTTACTCATAAACACAGAATCATATGCACAAAAAACGACTTGCTAGAGCAAGGCATCTGGGGAGGGGAGGGGGGCTGGGGATCAAACACATGGTACAGGGGCGGGATTCAGTGGATACCAGGTTAATACTCCATGCTGGAACCAATCCAAGACCAGGACCCGCCAGAGTCCAGAGACCAGATCGTACCCTCCCAAGCTCAGTCCCAGAGTTCAGGGTTTCCCCTTTCTCTGTTACCACAGCCCTCAGACTGGTCCGTATGGATGAAATGGGGATAGGGAGTGGGGAATCAATCCTTTGTTGGCATATGATCCAGGGACCGTATGGATGAAATGGGGATAGGGAGTGGGGAATCAATCCTTTGTTGGCATATGATCCAGGGAAGTTTTGATAACTGCCGACCGACCAAGACCAGCAGCTGCTGGGATCCTAAAGATAAACCCTATTGTTTTGGGACAAGCGGCCTCGAAAATCTTGTCGCTTAACTGCATCTCTGAAATGGCGAAAATGCCGAATTTACCGAATGTCATCACCTCCTCGCCTCTTTCTGTCTGAAATTTCACCCAGGTGTAACCTGCATCTCATGGGGACGCTGCTGAGCTGCGATTCTCTTCAGAATCACATCCAGTTTGGGACTTATTTCCCCCAGTGTCTGAGTCTGTGTGTTACCAGTACAGGAGATTCCGTCCATGGTTATGAACCATCTATAAACTTTTTAAAAAACAATTAAGGCTCCCACATACTCGATCGTACTGACCGCCTGACGAATTCTTTAATGTCTTTCAATTTCAGTCATGATGTCAAGGATTGTTTAGCTTTAAAACAATACAAGAAAAAAAAAGAAAATAACTACCTTACCAGGATCTGAGCTATTTCCTCCCACAAATTTGTTGCTCGCTGAAAGTCTTTATATTCCTTCATTGACGCATCATAAAGTTTTCTAATCTCCTCCATGAGACGCTTTTCAAGATTTGACTCCATTTCGTCCACAAATGACACCGATTCTCAACTTTATCAGCTTGGTGTCGCACCCAGAACAGTACATGCCATTGTGCGTACCATGGATGTAAAAAATTGTTCTCTGCGTGGACCAGTCCGCGGATGTCGAGTCCGCATTAAGTCCACCTCAAGTCCGTGCGGACCTCCGCGGATCAAAGTGCGCCCGAGTATGTGGGGGCCTTTACCATGGCTGAATAAAAACGCAATTCAATTGAATTCAACTCAGTTTATTTATAAAACACCACGTCACAACAGACATTATCTCAGGGCAAACATGTAGAGGAGATTGACTAAAGACAGCAGCAGAGTGGTGCCAAGAAACCTGGCTGGGCCAGCCACTGAAATGGTTGGAAACAGGCCGGCGGACCCGACCTTTGACCTCCAGCAGAGAAGAGGACAAGACAGGAAGAGAGGTCACAAGAGGAGCCTGGACGAAGGGACATCAGCCCAAAGGGAGGAGAAGAGGAGAAAGAGGAAGTTGAAGGAGTAACAAATATAATTTTAATTAATTTTAATGCTGGCAAATGATAAACAAATGTAATGATTTAAATGCTTATTGCAAAGTGTGGTTTGAATAATGAAATGTGATGATAAATGTGTTTAAATGTAAGCGACCACCGGATAGAAGGCAGCTAGAGGCCGAGCTTAAAGCCTCCTGACCCTGTCTTCTGGAGGAGACTCACCTGACTCAGCCACCCAGGCCACCCCAGGTGGCTGTAAGTCGGGTTTATCGTCTCCAAACCAAGAGGGAGACATCGGCTCCTCTCCAAGACCTATCGGTGTCCTGGTGGGTAAACTGGGGGAGGAGCCACAAAGGAAATCAGTGGTCAACAATAGAGGTGGGCGGATCGATACTAAATATCGATATTATCGATACCAACTCTGGTATTGATATTGAACAATACTCGTGTAAAAAGATCGATACACAAGCTTTGTTCTTTCCTGCACACACTGACTGCTGCGCACGCGGATTTTACTAAGTCTGCTCTGTAGTGCTGCAGTGTGTCACACACAGCACGGAGCACCCCCCCCCCCCCTTTTGTTGTTGCACCGTCACGTGACTCAGCAGCGCTAGCCAAACAGCTAAGCTAACTAGCAGGTAGGCTGGCTGGCCCACCCACTCAGGTTCTCACCGAGCCCTCTACCTCAGGAGATTTTGTTTTAAGTTGTATTGAGTGATGTGTTTGTCTGTTTATTTACATAAAACAGAATTGTATTGAAAGGACGAAAATTCCTTATTTTTGTTTTTCCTTAGAACAATTTTATTTAATGAAAGAAAAAAAAGAAGTAACTATGAAAGATGTCTAGTGGTGAGGGAAGAATTTTTATTTTATTTTTGTATAAAAGATTTATTTTCCTAACGTTAAAGGAAACTGGTTGTTACTGCTTTATTGTTGGCAAGCAAAAATATTGATTATTATAATAAAGTATTTTGTTGTAACCTACAATGTTTGGTGAAATTCTACCCTAGATCTTTTGGATCTTTTCAAATTATGAAGCTTAGAAAGTATCGGTATCGATATCGGCGATACTGGCCCTGTATTTACTTGGTATCTGATTGATACCAAAATTCCCAGTATCGCCCACCTCTAGTCAACAATGTGGTCAGTTTGTTCTTCAGCAGTCTAGCCTATAGCAGCAGAACTACTTAACTATAATAACTAAAGAATACCTCAGGAAACCTAAGGCTAATTTGTATGTTGCAATACATTCATGTACAATACACTTTATAAGAGAAATACTGTTATTGTTTTTACATTTAATTTTTTTATTGCTTAGTTATTACTGCTTGTGTGATTTTACTTTTTTTTTCACTGTTGACAACTGGGATTTCAGTATCTAACTTTCATTACTCGTACTGATTTGGAATGAGAATAAAAGTTCTTGAATTTTTGAATCCTTAAATCCGTCCGTCCGTCCGTTTTCTGCTGCTTATCCAGGATCGGGTTGCGGCAGCCTAAGCAGAGAGACCCAGACTTCCCTCTCCTCAGCCACTTGGGCCAGCTCATCCAGGGGAATCCCAAGGTGTTCCCAGGCCAGCCGAGAAACATAGTCCATCCAGTGTATCCTGGGTCTTCCTCTGGGTCTCCTCCCAGTGGGACGTGCCAGGAACACCTCATCAGAGAGGCGTCCAGGAGGCATCCTAACCAGATGAACCACCTCAACTGGCTCCTCTCGACGTGGAGGAGCAGCGGCTCTACTCTGAGTCCCTCCCGGATGACTGATCTTCTCACCCTATCTCTAACGGAGAGCCCAGCCACCCTGAGAAGGAAATTCATTTCAGCCGCTTGTATCCACAGTCTCGTTCTTTCAGTCACTACCCAAAGTTCGTGACCATAGATGAGTGTAGGAACATAGAACGACCGGTAAACCGAGAGCTTTGCCTTCTGGCTTAGCTCCCGCTTCACCACGACAGACCGGTACAGCGCCCGCATCACTGCAGATGCAGCACCAATCCAATCCGTCTGTAGATCTCCTGCTCCATTCTTCCCTCATTCGTGAACAAGTCCCCGAGATACTTAAACTTCTCCACTTGGGGCAGGACCTCCTCCCCAACCCGGAGAAGGCACTCTACCGGTTTCCGGCTCAAGACCATGGTCTCGGATTTGGAGGCACTGATCCTCATCCCGGCCGCTTCACACTCGGCTGCGAACCGCTCCAGCGAGACGAGTGGAATCCTTGAATCCTTGTATCAATTTGGAATCAAAGTTTCTACAGTTCTTGTAAAATGTTTCTGATTTAAACTTTTATATTTTCTAGCTCTTAACGATGAGATTTTTTTCACATTCTAGAATAAAATAGATTACACGGTAAGCCCAGTAAGCATGTAAACTGTAAGTATTTAGATTTAAGCTTTGATCTGGTCAGAAAACGTAACACCTCCACACACTTAAAATGGGCCAGGCTCAGTGGGCAGCAGTGCACATGTAAAAGAAGATAAGATCTGTTACCATGGCACCAGCAGTGTTTGTCTGAACTGAATGTTTTTGTTCTACCTCTGCCACAGGAAGCCCATTGATCGTCACGGCAGATGGCAGCGTGTCCGAGAGGCTGCTGGTCGATATGGTTCCTGGAAAGAGCTACCAAGTTACCGTGAGCGCGCTGAAAGGTCTGGAGGAGAGTGAGCCCAGCTCAGGCGCTGTAACCACAGGTTGGATTTCCTCTGATTAAAGCTCTCATTTGTGTCGTGACATCGCAGTCAGGTTGGACCAGTCAATGAGGAACCAATTGTTTTTATGTCCTCCAGCTTTGGACAGCCCGCGAGGTGTGACTGCAGTGAATGTCACTGACACGTCAGCTCTGCTGCTGTGGCAACCATCTGTAGCCACCGTGCATCACTATGTCGTAACCTACAGTGCTGATTCAGGTTTGCAACAGAAAAGTTTCACGATGGATGCTTTAATCTAAATTTACATTGCTTTGATTGTGTGACTTGTGTTCTGCCCCAGTGTCTGAAATGGTGGAGCATGTTTCTGGGAACACAGTGGAGTTTGAGATGAACTCCCTGCTTCCAGGTTCACATTACACGGTTGGTGTTTATGGTGTGAAAGAAGCTCAGAAGAGTGCGTCTGCTCTTACCGAATTCACTACAGGTAGGTCCAGACCGTAGCCTGGTTTACACACATGTTCTCCGAGTTTCCAACCAGCAGCTTTTTAGAGTGTTAAATCTTCATTTTCAGACGTGGACCCTCCTCGTGACCTGACAGCTGTTAACATTCAAACTGACAGCGCCACTCTGACATGGAAACCACCTCACGCTGCAGTCACTGGTTACATGCTCACCTTCTCCTCAGCTGATGGTGGAATCAGAGTATGTTCAAATTCAGTTCAGTTCAGTTTTTTGACACAGCGACAGTTCACAACTAAAGTCATCTTAGGGCACTAAGCAAAAAGAACTACAGTATTTATTTGAGTATAATACGTAAAATTTAATCCGTAAAATCATGCACAAAGTTGGGGGTAGTACTATACTCAGATAAATATCTTTGCTGATGTATTTTAACTGAAATATCGGCCTCATTTACAAAATCCCTGAGTCCGGAAATGAAACCCCGTCGTAAAAAGCAGTTGAAGCGAGCTTACCTCTAAAACTCCTTCGTGCCTCCGAGCGAGATAGTAACAGATCCAAGCAGCAACATGATGTGAAAAAATAAAAAAAGGCAGTCTTGCAGCTTAGTAATGATAACGAACTAATGATATTAATGTGCGGCCGGGCCACTCCTGGAACAACAACAAACACATGGTCGTCTGTAATGGCTGCTGTCTACCGGTGTTCTGTAAAAGTTGGTATACCTGAAAAAAGTTTCCCCACCAGAGGGGGTGCTCGCGAGACACAGAGCTTGAGATTGTTGTTGAGTGGGATTCTAATGCCTTTATTAGAGGAGGAATACCAGAAACTTTTAATGATACAGATGATGGTGAGCCTGATTTTGTAGGCTTTTGATTCAGCTTCATCCACACTTGTTAGAGCCACATAGCTCTGTCTGTTTGTTATATCACACCAGTTAACAAATGAACATTTGATAGTTTTTATTACAGTTATTAATTTGTTGTTGTGTACCTTTAGTACATTTGTTATTAAAATAAATTTAAAAACTGATTCAACAGTCAAATGATCATTTTACTGATATTTATATATAAAGACTGCAAAGGCTGAAAAATCCTGAAGTCCATAAGAAATTAGAGGTAGTATGAGAATTACATTTTTTATGCTTTTTAAGAAAAAAATAAGGGGGGGGGGTCGTATTATACATGAGATCGCATTATACACAAATAAATACTTTAATTCGATATAAAATCCAGTTAATTCTAAAATATCCAAAACCATTTAGTCAAGTCAAGCTTATTATAATGCAATATCTAGCAACTCAATCAAATTATTTCAAGTGGTCACTTGATTGTTTTACATTTTCTTCCCTTTGTCATAATTTCCCATCCTGAGAAGCACAGAAACAACGGTAAAAAAGAACAACTCTTTATTCACAGGAAGAAACCTGCAGCAGAATCAGGACCATGAAGAAGAAGGCATCTGCCTGGACAGATCACAGATTAGAATACAGGAAAGAGTTCTATGGGAAGAAAAAAACTAAGAAAACTTAAGGATATAATTACTAATACAAATGAGTAAAGTAGAGTGGCTAAAGCCAGCAGCAGAGTGAGGAAATGTGATCAGTTTGTCCTCAGACTAAGCTTACTGAAGTAGAATTGAGGGATATATCAGGAAACCCAAACCTAAGTCTAATTAAAGGTTTTTATCAAAAAGGAAAGTCTTCAGTCTAATCTTAAAAGTAGACAGAGTGTCAGCCTCACGGACAGAAACTGGAA